CTAGAGGACAGAGTGGAACTGCACCACAGGGTCTCCAAGGCTGTCAGTCTTCAGTGAAACCAATTACCTCATTTTTCTTCTGCACAGCAGCTGGTGGGTTCGAACCACCAACATCTGGGTTAGCAGCCCTCTACGTAATTAAGACACTGACAAGAGCAAAAACCTACCCCGTTTTGGCGAAGTTGGTCCAGTACGTCATCACCACCGCACTAAGCATCACATCGTTTTTGGAGAAGTTACAGCTGAAGAGCTCGGTGGGGCCGATCATGGGGATCCCAAAGACATAGGGGACCTCGTCCCCGTGGGCTGAGTCGGCCCAGCTGGGCTTCATCTCACTCTGACAGTGATGGTAAAAGGCGTAGAAGTAGGTCGGCGAGCCGTACTGGGCATGCAGGTCGGCGGTGGCCACGGCCGGGGCCACCCACTGGTGGTCAGTGAAGAGGGCCACCAGAGTCTTTCGTCGTGTCTCAGGGTTCTCCTTGTCCGCCCAGTCCGTGTACATGAACTTGATGGTCTCACGCAGGGTGTCCTTTCCCTCCGGGTAGCCGTACAGGTTGTCCACAAAGTTAGACACTGAGAAGTCAAAGTCGTTGGGGGTGACGCCATCTTCGTTGTCCACGATGCCGTCCACGAACTTGAGCCCTTCCCCCTGGTTCACGCCCAGCATGATGTCATAGTTGAGGAACTCTCCCTGCTCCATGAGAATCTGGGGGTCGTCGGGGATGACGTCGCCGTCGATGACGGGCCCGAAGGCGATGTGGTAGGTGGCCGGGGCGATGCTTTGCTGGATGAGCTCCTTGTAGTTCTTATTCCGGAGGCATTCGACCATGTCCGTGGTGTCCAGCATGTTGCAGCCCACTTTGTCTGCCAATATCCGAGTGTACTTGGCAGGCTGGTAGTTGACGGCCCAGCTGGACAGGGCGGTGCCGCTCTGGATGATGGCTTTTTGGAAAAGACCTGCAGGTGCAAAGCGGAGATATGCAAATGAACACCCAAGTGGACATGCAAATCTCCGCCCCGTGCGCAAGAAAGCAGCTTTTTCTGCCCGGAGAATGCAGGCACTGTAACTGCCTTCGGTGTGGGATTCCGCTCTGGCCACCGCTTCCACTCCTTTTCACCCCATACCCCCCAGCCCGAGGCCCCCACACTGCATGTTAGTTTGGGGAGATAGTTTTGCCCACAAAGACACACCAAGAGAGTTTAAGGACATAACGCTGCAGCATTAAAAACATGCAACCGCCTTGTGGCCCACAGGCCTCCAAGCACAGGATGTATGGAAAGGGGACACTAAAGAGACAACAGAAACAGGCGGGGTGGCCAGGGGCTTACGGGAGGAGAGAGGTTGAGTAGCTGGGGCCCCGGGCACCGTCAGGGCGGGGAGACTATTCCGTGGGACACCAACATTGTGGACCCGGCTGTGGTTGGAGCTACCGACAGGCTCACGGCCTGTAAGCCCCGGAGCAGAGGGACAACAGCAGCTGATGAAGGGGAAAGTGTCGCGGGAGCGCGGCGGGAGGGCGCAGCCGGCACGTCCGGGGCCTTTGTTCTGTAAACTTAAAACGGCCCTGAAACCAAAAGTGTATGAACAAGTGAGACAGAGAACATGAAACCCTAAAACATCTCTGAAAAATAAAGCGTCGTAGAAAAGATAAGCGGAGGCCTTCAAACCCTCGTTAGACATCTGAGGATATCAAAGATGCACCGTTAATGAGAAAGAAAAAGGAAACAGCACTGAATTGATTTCTCCTTCCACGACAGAGTGCTGCTTTCTGGGTACCTTGCCTCGTGTTTCATCACTAAAGGTCCTCGGAGGAAATGCTCACTGGAT